TCCTATATGGGATGCTGCCATTTTATTGTCTCTAAGTTTCAATATGAACATACAACAGGACCTCTTCACTGAGGCCACAGGGCATAGGGCTGGTCTGGAGAGGAGGACCCCTCTCTCCCTTGGCTGACCATGAGCTTACCTTCTTTAATTCCAAAGCAGTGGCCCCACTCCTTCAGAGTGATGTGCTTATCCTTGTTGGGGTCACACTCCTCAAAGAAGCGGGTTATGCAGTGTTCCATGGGCACCAGAGATGCTCGCAAAAGAGCAAGCTCTGAATGTGTCAAGACTCTGCAATGAAATAAATAGTAGCCTGTTAACGCATAGTTTGTGTATGAAAGGTTAACTCTGAGCATTATCAAGGACATTTTTTTCTGCAAGATTGCTGAGTATGCAAAAAAAAAGTAGCATTCATGAAAACTGCAAATGAAATCAACAATTTTGGGGTAAAGTAGACAACTTGAGTTGCCAATACACAATGATTCTGTCTTCCCTAGGAATGGTCCTTCCTCCACCTAAATCTGTAGGAGTGTACCCCAGGATTCATGTTTGTGAAACCTGGTCCTTAGTCACTGGCCATACCTGGATCAGTCAGATTATCTTGAAAAATTAGAATCAAGAATAAGAAAGGATTGAAGGAGTCTGTGTGTGAGTTGAACCTATAACACATTAACTTGGATGCTATGGCTTGGCCATATTCTCTACTTTAAAAAAAAGTTTTGTGCTAAGACTCCTAACCACATTTGTTTGGCATCTTAGTGTTCTGAAATGTCCTGATCTGATTTCTATTTCATATAGAAAAATAAACTTTGTAACAGAGAGATGACCCAGTAACAAGAAAATAAATAGTTTTTACCTATCCATGGGATGCTGGTCAAGTTCACTAAATTGCCAGTGCACAGGATACACATACATGTGGTAGTTTTTCTTAAAGTCTCTTAAGAGAAGGTCAATGGGATGGTCCCCGGCCAAGAGCCTCTTTTCGTCCAGGTAAATTTTCTTGACCTGGAAATAGGAAGGGAAAAGATCATTAGAGAATCAGATAAAGATAATGTAATGCTTATTTACCAAACTTTAAGGTTTCCAGATGGTGCAAATGTTTTTTACTCAACTGCTAACCTAAAAGTCAGTGGTTCAAACCCACCCAGTGGTACCATGGAAGATAGGCCAGACAATGTGCTTCCATTAAGATTACAGCCAAGAAAACCCTATGAAGCAGCTCTGTTAACACTTGGATTTGCCATGAGTTGGAATTAACTTGAAGGCACAAAACAACAACAACCACTGGAAGAGTAATAGTAACATGACTGAGGAAAGCCAGCCTAGGCTATCATGTGAGACCAAATTAAATGCCTTCCATTCAATATGTGGCATTCATCATCACAAAGAGTGTTTCAAGATCTGTCCTGAAGTACAACACTGTCGGTGATAGGATAATATCTATATGCCTACATGGAAGACTAGCTAATACTACTATTATTCAAATTTATACACCAACCACCAAAGCCAAACATGAGGAAATTGAAGATTTCTACCAACTTTTGCAGTCTGAAATTGACTGAACATGCGATCAAGATGGTTATTTCTTGGCGATAGAAATAACTCTGGGGATTGCATGACTGACTTATTCATTGCAAATACTTTTTTTCTAACAACATAAGCAAGGACTATACATGTAGACTTCCCCAGATGGAATACACAGGAATCAGATTGACTACATCTGTGGCAAGAGGTGGTGGAGAAGTTCAATATCTTTGGCCAAAAGAAGGCCAGGAGCTGATTGTGGAATAGACCTTCAACTGCTCATATGCAAGTTCAACTTGAAGTTGAAAACAAAACAAGTCCATGAGAGCCAAAATATGATGATAATATCCCTCCTGGATTTAGAGGCCCTTTAAAGAAGAAATCTGATGCATTGAACACCAATGACCAAAAACCAGAGGAATTGTGGGATGACATCAAGAACATCATTCATGAAGAAAGCAAGAGGTCGGTCATTAAAAGATGAGAGAGGAAGAAAAAAGACCAAAATGGATGTCAGAAGAGACTCTGAAACTTGCCCTTGAATGGACAGTAGCTAAAGAAAAAGGAAGAAATGACAAGATAAAAGAGCTGAACAGCAGATTTAAAGAGCAGCTCGAGCAGACAAAGTCAATTACTATAATGAAATGTGCAAAGACTTGGAGTTAGAAAACCAAAAGGGAAGAACATGCTTGGCATTTCTCAAGCTGAAAAACTGAGGAAATACTTTAAGCCTTGAGTTGCAATATTGAAAGATTCTATGGGCAAAATATTGAATGATGCAGGAAGCATCAAAAGAAGATGGAAGGAATACACAAAGCCATTGTACCAAAAAGAATTGTTCAATCGTCATCCATTTCAGGAGGTGGCATATGATCAAGAACCAATGGTACTGAAGGAAGAAGTTGAAGCAGCACTAAAGGAATTGTTCCTGAAGTACAAGGCTTCAGGAATTGACAGAATACCCATTGAGATGTTTCAACAAATGGATGCCCCTCTGTAGGCACTCACTTGGCTATGCCAAGAGATTTGGAAGTCATCTACCTGGCTAACTGACTGGAAGAGATCCATATTTGTACCCATTCCAAAGGAAGGTGATCCCACAGAATGTGGAAATTATCAAACAATATCATATGCAAGTAAAAATCTTACTGAAGATAATTCAAAAACGGTCACAGCAGTATATTGACAGAGCTTTGAGAAATGCAAACTAGATTCAGAAGAGGACATGGAACAAGGGATATCATTGTGGATGTCAGATGGATCTTATCTGAAACCAAAGAATACTAGAAAGGTGTTTACTTACATTTTATTGACTGTGCAAAATCATTTGATTGTGTGGATCATAATAAATTATGGATAACATCCAGAAGAATGAGAATTCCAGAACACTTGATTGTACTCATGAGGAACCTGTACATAGATCAGGAGGCTTTTGTTTGAACAGAACAAGGAGATATTGCATGGTTCAAAATCATGAAGGGAGTCTGTCAGGGTTGTATCCTTTCACCATACTTATTCAATTTGTATGCTGAGCAAATAATCTGAGAAACTGGATTATATGAAGAAGAACATAGCATCAGGATTGAAGGAAGACTCGTTAACAGCCTGTGATAATGCAGATGATACAACTTTGCTTGCTGGAAGTGAGGATGACTTGAAGAACTTACTGATGAAGATTAAAGACTACAGTCTGCACTATGGATTACATCTCAATATAAAGAAAACAAAAATCCTCACAGCTGGTCCAATAAATAGCTTCACGGTGGATAGAGAAAAGATTGAAGTCATCAAGGATTTCATATTTCTTGGTTCTACAGTCAACACCAATGGGAGCAGCAGTCAAGACATCAGACAACTTATTGCACTGGGCAGATCTGCTGCAAAAGACCTCTTTCAAGTGATGAAGAGCAAAGATGTGTCCTTGAAGACTGATGTGCACCTAACCTGAGCCATGGTATTTTCAGTTGCCGCTTATGTATGTGAGAACTGGACAATGAATAAGGAAGGCCAAAGAAGAGTTGATGCTTTTGAGTTGAGGTGTTGGAGAAGAATCCTAAGAGTACCATGGACTGCTAAAAGAACTAACAATCTGTTCTGGAAGAAGTGCAGCCGGAAGGCTCCTTGGAACCAAGAATGGCCAGACTTCATCTCACCTACTTTGGTCATGTTGTCAGAAGGAATCGTTTCCTGGAGAAGGATATCATGCTTGGTAAAGTGGAGGGTCAATGAAGAGGGGGAAGGCCCTCCAGATGGATAGACACAGTGGCTGCAATGATGGGCTTAGGTACAGCAAGGATCATGAGGCTGTCACAAGACTGGCAGTGTTTCTTTCTGCTGTGCATAGGGTCGCCATGGGTTGGAGACAACTCAATGGCATCTAACAACAACAACAGTTTAATATGAGAATCTTTTTTATTTCCTCATAATAACAACTGAGATTAAAAGTCTGTGGTTTTCTGAAGAAATTTAAGTCTTTTTAGCTTTTTTGTTTTAACCAAGTAATGTTTACTACATTCCTTAAATAATGAGGAGGCTTTAATGAAGAGGACTGAAGCCACCCAGGCAAAGTTGTGGTTAGTTGGTGAAAATTCTTGTTTCTTCCTCTGTTGTCATGCTCCATTTTTTACTGCCTGGGTATTCCCACCCAGCGCCCACTCAGTCTCAGCTTAGCCCTGCTTTGTTTTCACTCTGTGCCTTCACTCCCACTGAAATTCCCATTTCATAGCTAATGCCTCAAGTCTCTCTGTGACATTGTATTAAAGAGAGAGGATAAAAATTATGCTTTGGTACCACACGCACTGCTTACAGCTTATAATAATACCTATTATTTCACTAAGAAAACGCAAGTGATCAGAACAGAACTTCTACCCTTTCCCCTGACCACATCTACTGGCTTACTTCCCTATTACCATACTTCCCTATTACCATGGACGAACTTCCTTTGCTCCCATCTAAGCCAACCTCTCCCTGCTGCTCAGAAGCCCATCCCTTTTCATGTACTCAAAAACACCTTTTGGCGTTTGGGTACCTTCTTTGCTCTTCACTTATTTCCCCAACTTCACTGAGCTATTTCCCAAAGCATGCAAACATCCTCTATTGTCTCCCATTGGCATCAGGAACTCTTGGACTCACATTCCCCTCTAGCTACCACCCCATTTCTCTTTTGATTTTTACAGCAAACCTCCTTGAAAGTATTCTTTATACTTGTTTCTTCCACATTCTCCCCCTATTCTGTCTTGAACTCTGTCCACTAAAGCTTTTTTCCTTCACCATTCCACAGGAATAATTCTGTCAAGGTCAGCTTTGGTAAATCAGCAGTCAGCTCTCTGTCCTTGTCTTACAATTTATAAACAATATTTGGCTCAGTTATTGCATACAGTCCATCTTATTTTATTTTCTTGATGGCGTGTTTCATCCTACCTGACATATACATATATTTGTTTGTTTATATATTTGCACATAGATAAACATATACATATGCACATGTCTATATATTTCCGTGGAAGCTCTGGTAGTGTAGTGCCTAAGTCACTTGACTGCTAACCAGAAGGCTGGTGGTTCAAATCCATCAGCCACTCCTTGGAAGGAAGGTTGGGCAATCTACTTTCGTAGTGATGCTGCCTCAGAAACCCAAGGAGGGGTCGCTATGAGTCGGGTCCAACTCCACGGCACCTAACAACAACAACAAATATTTCCATATACATAAAGGTATGTATGTGTGTATACACACACACACACACACACATACATGAGGAGCCCTGGTGGCACAATGATTAAGTACTTGGCTGCTAACTGAAAGGTTGGCAGTTCAAACCAACCCAGCAGTTCTTCAGGAGAAATACCTGGTGATCTCCTGTAAAGATTACAGCCTAGAAAACCCTATGGGGCAGGTCTGCTCTGTCCTATGGGGTTGCTGTGAGTTAAATTGACTCTACAGCAACTGACATCAATAACAACATATATATGTTGTGGTGGTTAAGGTTGTATATCAACTTGGCTGGGCAGCTGGATGTAGTTATTCTCCATGGTGAGATTGGTAATTAACTCCATGGTGGAATCTACTGGAGCAACTGAGTAGCTGCTTTAGGGATGAGGGCTGCTTCCAGTATATAAGAAGCAACTTTGAGGAAGGTCTCTAGCTCATGGCATGCTTGAACCCTGAATGTAGTTGAGTCATTGTTCAGCAGCTTGCCATATTGCCCAGCCAATCTTGGGACTTTTTCTGGACTTGAATCACTGGCCTGCTGTGTGGTTTGGTAATATCAGGACTGTGCCATTTTATTTGTCAACCTTGGGCTTGTCAGCTTCAGCAGCCAGCAGCTGCCTGACTCAAGCCTCTAGCTTCAGCTGGCTGGGAGCAAGAGGCAGAGCTAAAGCCCAAGCTTGAGGGGCTTTCACCCAGCCCCTAGAGCCTGGCACTTTGAACTTGGACTTCTAGCCACCCAAACTGTAAGAAAATAAACTCCTGTTTGTTAAAGCCATTCAATTTGTGGTATATTACTGTCAGAGTGGCACTAGGTAATCAAAACATATACATACATGTATTTTTGCTTATTTGTTTAGAGTCTGTCTCCTCTACTAGAATGTATGTATACTCATGAAGGCAGAGGTTTTGTTCATCATTGTATGTGTAGCACTTAGATCTATTTCAGTCACTTAGGATAGACTCAAGGTCCCTAGGTGGTACAAACAGTTTGCCCTTGACTGATAATCAAAAAATTGGCAGTTAAACTCATCCAGAGGCACTGTGGAAGAAAAGGCCTGACTGCCTGCTTTTGTAAAGGTTACTGCAAAGGTAATACTATGGAGAATTCTACTGTAACACGCAGGATCACTATGAGTTGGAATCAACTCAATGGCACAAAACAACAGGATGGATTCAATAAATATCTGATGACTGAATTTTCTTGGTGAACTTCTGGAATTAATATCTTGCTTTTTTTTTTTAATTTTAATCTTAATCTATTAGCTGTCATTATGAGTAATGGATTCCCCTCATATCATACATCTGTGTTTGGTCTAAAAGGGGGGAAAGAGTTTAGAATTAGATAATATGTTTGGGCCTGGTTTTATAAATGCTAAGCTGATGTTCACTTTGCTCAACCAGAGCTTGCTGTAGGTAGGGAAGGAGCAGCTTTTGCTCAGGCCACTCACTGCCCTTTGGGAAGGGATGGGGTGGTTTGGTTGTGATCTAAACTGTGGCTGCAACTATTCTGTTAATCCATGTGAGCTAACCAGGAGCAAGGAGGCAATGAGAGGGGTAGCCCTCACATGGCCACCTTTTCTCTTCAGGCCCTGTAGGCAGACTCTGGAGTGGCTGACCCACAGATAGCTTACCTTGTTCCTCTGCTTCTCATTTAGATATCCAGCATGTTCGGGCTTATGTTCATAAAGCTGTATGAGGATATTCTTGAGCCAGTCTCTCATTCGTAGAGGAAATTGAGTCACTTCAAAGTCCGTACAAGCAGGGATAGCTGTTCCAAGCAGAAAGTAAATACACTGTAATCTTCAGCTTTACTCCTTTCATAAGCAAATACTCATAACAGGGTACTTCTGGTAACTTGCAGAGCGTCCTTACTGTCACCACTATCTACAACAGTGCTCTTCAACCCTGGCTGCACCAAAGAATTGCCTGGGAGTGTTTAAAAAACATACTGAATGTCAGCTTCCTTTCTAAAAAATTTTGATTTGATTAGTCTTGGGTAGAGATTAGGCATCAGTGTGTTTTAAAAGCTCCAAGTATAATTTTGCTGTGCAACCAGGGTCTAGTACCACTGTTCTAGAAAGAGGGTTGGAATTTGGAGATGGAGGACACAAGAGCTATTCGTGGGGAAAAAAGAGGACAAAGTTGTGGCTAGCTTTTACTGTGATAACAAATCAGTGCCTTAAAGAAACAAAAGTTTATATCTTGATTACACTGCAAGTCCCACTCACATTGGCTGGAAGGCTCTGCTCACTGTTGTTACTCTGAGGCTCAGGATGATGGAGACTGCACCATCTTATGAGGCCACCATGTTAACATGAGGCTTCAGGGTTGGTAGTGGCAAGGGAAGACAGCACAGGGAATCATGCACCAGCTCTTAAATGTTTCTGTTCAGAACTCACATTGGATGATTTTTGCTCACATTTCATCTGACAGAGCAAGTCATATGGCCATACCTAACTTACAGGGGGTTGAGAAGTTTAATCCTCCCATGTGTCCGGAAGGAGAAGAGAACTGGAAATATTAGTGAACATTGCTAAGATGGAGAATCATTTAGTGGTGAGAGGATCCAAACACAATTGAAAGTATCCTGGGGAAGGAAGACAATTTAAAAATACTTCTGGAAGAAAATGTTGTCATAAAACTTCTTGGCAGAGGCTTAACTTAAATGGGAAATACAGCAAAATTCTTAGGATTCATCTCATGAAGTGGATAACATACTCTATCATAGTGGTTCTGAACCCTGGCTGCACACTGGGATTGTCTAGGTTACTTTCAAAACAAAACCCAAGCAATGCCTTGGACCCAATCCAATCCAACTAAATTAGAAACTCTTAGGGTTGAGACCTGGGCATTATTCCTCTTATTTTTTGAAGTCTCCCCAGACTTCAAAAAATTTTAATGTGAAACTTGAGCTCAGAAATACATTAGCTTTTTTCTGTTTGACTATTATTCAGGCATATACAGATTCTCCCAAAACTCTCTCAGCAACGGTGTTGGCAGTAGTGACAGAATCTTACATTTGCAGCTTCCAAAATAATCCAGCTGCAGTTGGTGGCCCTTTTTGGTCCCTTCCAATCCACACTTGGTAGCAAAGAGATGACAGGAGCTAGCATAGGTCTGATTGTCAGTGCCACAAACCTAGGAACGACAAATAAGAGAAAAACTAGTAAAGCTGAATGCTCATTGAAAAACACTCTGCTCCTTAAGGCTCACAGTCTATCTGATAAATTGCACTGAGCCAAAGATGTGGCCAGGTAGGTGAGGTTATTAAAATCATTTTCTACACATTTGCCTGATATCCTTGTTATTTCATATAAATGATATCATACAATATGTATTCTTTTATGGTTGACTTATTTCACTCAGCTTACTGTTTTCAAGGGATGGTCATGTTGTAATATGTATCAAGACTCCGTTTCTGTTATGGTGATGGGAAATTTGGTAATGACTATGGGTGATGATTGTACGACATGATTAATGAAACTGATATCACTAATTTGTACACCTAAAAATGTTGAATTGGAAAATGTTATATATATTTTTACAGCAATGAAAAAGAAAAAAGTCATAATTCTCCCATCTGGCACACCCACACATACCACACACAAAATCAAACAACCTACACCAATGATGATGATAGCATAGCTCCAGGTAAGCTCAGTTATTCTAAAAGTTCAGATACTGCAAGGGCAGAATGAGTTTTAAAATTAATTCTGCAGATCAAGTAACATTATTACCTTCTTAGGAGCCCTGCAGGTGCAGTGGTTAAACACTTTGCTGCCAACCTAAAGGTTGGCTGTTTGGAGCCAATCAGGGGTACCTCGGAAGACAGGCCTGACAATCTGTTTCCAAAAGATCACAGCGTTGAAAACCCTATGGAGCAGTTCTACTCTGCATACATAGGGTAACCATGAGTCAGAATCAACACGACTGTAATTAACAACAACAACAACAGGGCACAGTGGTAATTTGCTGATTTTGTCGGCATTTGTTCCTAGTCAATATTAGATCATAACCTGGGCATCAGCTTTTTCTTTTTAACACAGATTTTCAGTTGCAACCTCTTTTCATTCAAATCACTAATCTTTTGGTGCCTCTTAGAGACCATTTTGTAGACTACTTACTTGGTCAAGGAGTTTTGTAGGAGGACAAGTCATTGGATCTTGGCAAACACAGTGGGGTTTTCCTTGTAGGTCAGCCTTACAAATGTGTCCTCTTTTACACTGGAAACTCATGCAAGGATCTACCAGAAAAAATGAAACAACCAGAATGCAATTAAAAAGAATATTGACACATTGTGAAAAATGTGAAAACAGGAAGAAACAAAAGAAAAAGGAATGTACCAGAAAATGTTAGACAGGAAAGATGGACAAAGGTAAACTGAGTACGTAAACCTCAAATTCGTCCAGAACACTGGCTTCATTTTAGCTAATAAGGGAGAAAAATTGGGAAAACAAAAGGAACCACTTTAATCGATGAGTTAATTATCTAGTGGAACCTTCTGGCATATAGAATATTTTACACGAGAGTCTAGTTTTTGGTGCAACAGTTTGAAAAGAACAAACAGCTCGTCCTGGCTCGACTGAGATAGTTATAATCTGAAGTCAACAGTACAACATTGTGCAAATGGTCAGAAGTAAAACCACGGGGATTTCATCATGTTGAAATAAAAAGTGGTTGTGATTGAAGTATGAGTTAGACACTTAATTAAAGGTGGATTTACTAGTAAGTTATAGATTTGAGATGAGAATAAATAAGGTAGACTTAAGTCTTCTCAGAAGCAAAAGAAATTTGGAAGAAATAATTAGTTTTTGCACCAATATCTCAACAAGACACTTTCAGTTTGTAAACACATTTACTCATAGTTGTATTACTATATCGGCTTGAGAAAATATCAACAAATTATGGAAGTATTTCCTTGGGGAGGACTGGGAAGAGGAAAAATTCTGTGCAGTAATCACAAAGGAAGGGAGAGAGAAGTCCATTGTGGCAGAGTCTACCCCTTCTTTGATATAGTCACAAACAGCTTTGACTTAGTTACAGTCATAAACCTTCATATGCTCACCAATACCTTCCACCCTCATATTACCTTCACTTGAATTTTCGTCTTCATTCGGTGAGCTCTCTGCTTTCTTGCCCTTTATAACAACAAGAGCAGAAGTTAAAGTCTATTAAGGGGAAAACCATTACTTAATTTTAATTCCAAATAAAACAGGTATTTGCAGACTAATTATGGAAATGGATATAAAAATAAATAATTGCAATATATTGTAGTAATGTATTTAAACAACATATGCATTGGAGACTGAGGTCCAGAGAAAGGCCATAGCTATTTTTACTGACAAAACTAATTGTTTTCTTGGACAAACATCATGATAAATAATCTTACCCTTTGAGATTCTCTAGGTCCACTGCTATTGACACTCTCATTTTCATGTGCTCTTTCTTTTGGCTCCTGATCATTGATGTGATAGTGATTGGATTGAGCTCTTTCACTCTCCAGGACAACCTGGCTTGGGATCATGTAGTCATCACCCACACTGTGCCTGGGACCATTACCACTGTCCTCAGCCTCATGATTTCTGGGCATGCTGTTACCATCATCAGTAGGCTCCACAAGCAAAGCTTCAGGAACAGTCTTTTTATCCATCTCCTTTTGGGTGCTGATAATTTCAAGGCCAATTTTTCCCTCTTGGCTCTGCCATTCAGTCTCTTGAAAGTGCTTATTGATTTCTGATGCATTTTCCCCTTTCATTTCTGCTTTGGAGTTATCATCTTCTTGTTCTTGGTTACTTTGCTCAAATTCTTCCTCCTGAATCTTGCTGATTTGAGTTGGTTGACTGGACTCTTCCAAAATATCATCAGGTTGAGTGCTGTCTTCCTGCTGATAGCTATTAGAGTGTTCCTTGGGAAATTCTTTCTCCTTTTCTTGGTTATCATTGTGAGTACCAACTGCTCTTGGCTCTTGCTCCTCCCCTTTGGGAGTATTTGGATCCTGCTCTTGGTTTATTTGATCACTTTGTTCTTGGCTATGTTTGCTGTTCCTGTTCAACTGATGATCTTGGTGTGTTTCTTTCTCTGTGATACTTTCTAGTTGACTATAATCCACAGTGGAACTAACATCAGGAACAAGAAAGTCAGTATTCTCTGGTAGACTTTTTTTTTTAATATCACTCCTATCTTCTTTTAGGTCCAGTGTTCCTTTGGTTGGTTGGTTTTCCAAATTCATACCTAAGCCATCGTCACTGTTCTCTTGATCTTTCAGTCCCAGCTCTTGGCTATTATTCTGGTCTTTTTCTTCTACTTGTTCATTGTTTTCCTCTTTTGACTTTAGTATTGAAAATTTTTCAGCATTAAAAGAAAAAAGTTTATTATTGAAACAAATGATTAATTATTTACATCATACTTGAAATTCCCACTAAACCAAAATCAAATCCACTGCTAAGGATTATTCTTACTCATTGTGACCCGTTAGGACAGAGCAGAATGCCTCATAGGTTTCCAAGGCTGTAAATCTTTATGGAAGCAGACTGCCTCATCTTTCTCCTGCAGAGCAGCTGGTGAGTTTGAACTGTCAAACTTTTGATTAGCAGCCGACTGCTTTAACTGTTACATTACCAGAGTTCCTTTGCAATTCCTAAGTCAGTATTTAGTATTCATATTCTTTTCTTTGTACATTATCATGTAAACTTATGATATTCTTTACTTTCTATAGCCACAAGTATAAACCTTAATTTGAATTTTGTGAAATGAAACAATTGTGTCACCTTGGCTCATGGAGTAGAACTCATTAATCCATGTAACCTTTCTAGTGACTGGAGACACTTGACATGATCATCATCTTTTAAAAAAATTAAACATAAGTAAGGTAAGCTCTTCAATGATATTTTGAAATTGAGATTTTTGGAGAATTTAAAAATTATATTAGAATAATCTTGTTACTTTTACCTCAGGGTTGGGATCATCTTCTGTAGAGACTGCAGTTTCTTCTTCATATTCTTCATAGTCAATTTCTAAAGCAGGAATTGCAGTGTTGTTGGGTATTACTGAAACTGAGGTTTCAGCCTGTTGCATGGAACTCAAAGAATCAGCAGTCGGTTGGTAATGATCAGATAAGAACCTTGCATTTGTCTGAAAAATTAAAAATTAGATTGTGTTATTCATGTGTAGATGCCAATTGTAAAAATTACTAGTTACCCTTTTATTGTCATCATTGAGTTTTAGTTGCAACTCATGAGTTAAAAGATACTCTCTAGAATTTTTAAGAATACAGAAAAATGTCTAGAATAAAATTAAGTGAAAATTGAATCTTAATTATCTTTAAGAAAAAGTTGCATATGCAGAGACTGGGTGAAAATAGCACTAAAAAGATTTCAATAATGGTGATCTTTAAATTTTATATTTATTTATTTAACTTTTACAAATAATTAGTACTTTCTAGTTTTTTAGCAGAAACTTGAAGTAAAATCAAATTAATCACAGATACAGAATTGTACAAGGAGCTCTGGTGGCATAGTAGGTAAGGCATTTGGTTGCTAACCAGAAGGTTAGCTGCTCTGTGGAGGAAGATGAGGCAGTCTACTTCCTTAAAGATTTACGGTCTTGGAAATCCAATGGGGTTCGTTATGAGTTGGAATCAACTTGATGGCAGAGAGTTTGGTTTTGTTTATTTCATTGTACACTGTGAACATAGCATTCTGAGGATGATGCAGGACCAGTTGGTGTTTCATTCTGTTGTACATAGGGATCAGTATGAATTGGAACTGACTCGACCGCACCTAACAAAAACAACATAGCATTGTACATTCTTTTTGAGCTTAACTTTTAATTACTCACTGGTAACTAGCAGAAAAGATTGTAAACCTTCTATTCAACATTTGTTTACTTATGAGGCCTTACTCCATCAGGAGATTTTAAAATCTAAAAGCTTAATTTAAAAAAAATCTCAAATTAATTGAAGGACTTTGTGAAACAGGACATTGAACCTAGTAGGGAAGAGTAGCTATGAAGTACTCTTTCAACTGGAGGGATAGCTCTATTTCTAGCAAGGAATGGAGGCTTAGATGAAGAGCTGGCAGATGAGTGAAGAAGAAGTTCAACAACCAGAGCTGGAGATAGGAGGCCCCTCTTCAAGTTTTAACTTTGCTATTTACCATCTACCTGTGGTCTGACAAGCCATTAATCTCCACCCTACCACCTCCCAATTGGAAGTGAACAGAATTACCAAGGTAAGATTGCTGTTGTTGTTATGTGCCGTCGAGTCAGCCCTGAGTCATAGCGACCCCTCCTTGGGTTTCCGAGGCAGTATCACTATGGAAGTAGGATTGCCCAACCTTCCTTCCAGGGAGTGGCTGGTGTGTTTGAACCGCCAGCCTTCTGGTTAGCAGTCAAGTGCCTTAGCCACTATGCTACCAGAGCTCCCAAGGTAAGATTATGTAGGTAAAATATTTTGCAAATTTTAAGGAGCTACCCAAATGAACAATTATTATAGCTAATAATAATATCATTAAAGTGGGAATAATTTCAACTGTCTAATATAAACCAAAGGAGCTCTGGTAGCATAGTGCCTAAGGCACTTGACTGCTAACCAGAAAGCTGGCAGTTCAAACCCACCAGCCACTCCTCGGAAGGAAGGTTGGGCAATCTACTTCTGTAGGGACACTGTCTCAGAAACCCAAGCAGGGGTCGCTATGAGTCGGGGCCCACTCGACGGCACATAACAATAAAAACAATATAAACCAAAAGCCAAATTCACTGTCGTCAAGTTGATTCCAACTGATAGAATCCCAACTGGGTTTCCAAGGCACTAAATCTTTATAGAAGCAGACTGCCCCATCTTTCTTCCATGGTGTGGCTGGTAGGTTCGAACCACCGATCTTTTGGTTAGCAGGCAAATGCCTTAACCTCTGCCACCAGAACTCCTTAATTGTCTAATATATGAGGCAGGTATTTACTATAGATAATTTTTATTGAGATGCTGTGGACACCCAGATGTCAGAGAGATCCATGTATAAAACAGATTCTGTTTGGATTGACTCATCCTGACTTCATTAGCAAATCCTGTAGTGCTGACTGGGTAATATAAAGAAAGTCATACAGTATAGGATGTATTTTAAAATTGTTTTGCTTTCTTGTTTCTTATCTAGTTTTCAACTAAGAGGAGTAATGATATCATTTTTAACAGTTTCAAAAGAATTACTTTTTAAGAAGAAAAAGGAGGAAGAATGATGGCCAGTTTGGCAAGATGCTAGAATCATCATAGAAGGCAATGGCTAGGTGTGGGGTTTAGGGTTGAGAACAGAGAACTACTGTCCCTCTCTGCTACCTCCCACTCCACTCTCCCCTCTTCCACAGGGAGAAATTAACAAAAAACGTGGCAGTATACGTTCCTTCAGAAATATTCTGAAATTGAAATGCTGTTTTATCAATAAGCACATGTCTATATTTATAAAAACATGCCCACTAAAAATCTGTTTGGCATCTCCTTACCAGACAGAATCCCCATACTTTTGGAGAATTTAAGCAAGTGGGGAGAATGACGTTGTTGTTGGTCCAGTCGAATTGGTTCCAACTCATAGTGACTTTATGTATAACAGAATGAAACACTGCCCAGTCCTGCACTATCCTCACAGTCATTGCTATGTTTGAGCTCATTGTTGCAGCCGCTGTGTCAACCCATCTCATTGAGGGTCTTCTTTTTTTCTCTGACTGTCTGCTTCACTGAGCATGATATCATTTTCTAGGAACTGGTCCCTCCTAGTAACATGTCCAAGGTATGAAAGATGAAGTTTCACTATCCTCGCTTCTAAGGAGCATTCTGGCTACACTTCTTCCAAGAAAGATTTCTTCATTCTTCTGGAGGTGCATGATATATTCAATATTCTTTGCCAACACTATAATTCAAATGCATCAATTTTTCATAGGTCTTCCTTATTCATTGTCCAGCTTTCAACATGCATATGGGGCAATGAAAATACCTTGGATTGGGTCAGGTGCATCTTAGTATTCAAAGTGACATTTTGTTTTTTAACTTTAAAGAGGTCTTTTACAGCAGATTTTCCCAATGCAATATGTCATTTGATTTCTTGACTGCTGCTTCCATGGGCATTGATTGTGGCTCCAAGTGAAACAAAATCCTTGACAATTTCAGGATTTTCTCTATTTTACATGACTATGCTTATTGGTCCATTTGTGAGGAATTTTGTTTTCTTTATGTTGAAGTGTAATCCATTTTCATCAGTAAGTTCTGGCTTTCAACAAGCAAGATTATTTCATCTGCATGTCACAAGTTGTTAATGAGTCTCTCTCCAAGCCTAATGCCATGTTCTTCTTCATCTAGTCCAGCTTTTCGGATATTTTCTTAGCATACAGATTGAATAAGTATGGTGAAATGACACACATCTTTCCTGATTTTAAACCACACAGTATTCCTTTGTTCTCTTTGCATGACATCCTCTTGGTCTGTGTACAGGTTCCTCATGAACACAATTAAGCATTCTGGAATCCCCATTCTTCAAAGTGTTATCCAGAATTTGTTACAATCCACGCAGTCAAATGTCTTTACATATCAATAAAACACAGGGAAACACTATTCTGCTATTCTTTGCTTCCAGCCAAGATCCATCTGATATCAGCAACGGTATCACTTGTTCTACATCTTTTTCTGAATCTGGCTTGAATTTCTGGCAGTTCCCTCCCAACGTACTGATGCAGTTATTTTTGAATTATCTTCAGCAAAATTTTACTTGCATATGCTATCAATGATATTGTCCCATTCCACTGGATCACCTTCCTTTGAATTCGGCACAAAATAGTTCTCTTCCAGACAGTTGGCCAGGTTGTTGTCTTCCAAATTTCTTGGCATAGATGGATGCGCACTTCCAGTGTGGCTTCTCTTTGTTCATACATCTCAGTTGGTATTCTGGCAATTTCTGAAGCCTTGTTTTTAGCCAATGCCTCCCGTGCAGCTTGAACTTCTTTCTTCAGTACTATTGGTCCTTGATCATATGCTACCTCTTGAAATAGTTAAACATCTACCAATTCTTTTAGGCACACTGACTCTGTATATTCCTTTTGATACTTCCTGCATCATTCATTTTTTTTTGCCCATAGAATTCTTCAATATTGCAACTTGAGGCTTCAATTTTTTCTTCAGTTCTTTGAGTTTGAGAAATGCTAAGCATGTGCTTCCCCTTTGGTTTTCTAACTCCAGGTCTTTGCACATTTCATTATAATACTTTACTTTGTCTTCTCAAACTGCCCTTTCAAATCTTCTGTCCAGCTCTTTTGCTTCATCACACACTGCTGGTATTTGTAATATAGCGGCTTACCTTCCAGCATCACAGCAAAACACAAGCTACCAAGTGTCACACACTGACAGAAGAGTGGTGGGGCAAAAATGATACAAGACTTTTAGTAGCCAAATCTTCTAAGAAGCTATTTGGTTTTCTAGCATTTCGTTGGGCCCATACAATAACAAATTGCCCTAGGAAACACATCTGGAAAGTGTCTCTATGCAGGCGTGTCACTCAAGCATGTGGTTCAAACATTGTTTTGATGTCTGTTTACATAGCAGCAGCAACTGTAAGGGCAAACCACATTTTCATGGATAAAAAGAATGGGTCTGTGAGAGTTCCTTTCTATGCTGAATATTAATTTGTCTTGCTTTCTGTGCATTGCATAGTTTCAGTTAGATTAGATCCATACTACTTAAGCATCATTCTTAGTAAAACTCACTGCCATCGAGTTGATTCCATCATAGTGACCCCTCCTTGGGTTTCTGAGGAGGTATCTCTACAGAAGTAGATTGCCCAGTCTTCCTTCTGAGGAGTGGCTGGTGGGTTTGAACTGCCAGCCTTCTGGTTATCAGTAAAAATGCCTTAGGCACTACACTACCAGAGCTCCCATTCTTAGTAGTGGTCATAAATTCTATTTTCCTAGAACTGCTTAGTCTGGGTGGCATGGAGTTTGTCTTTGCTGACACATCTGTCAACTAGAAACAGCCACTGGTATCCAAAGTAAGGAAGACTCTTAGACTTACAACGGGAGGGTTAAAAAGAAAAAAATGCAGATTGTTTGGCTCGATTAAAGATGGTATGGATAATTTGGGAGATGTGAACCAATCCATGCTTCCTTCTTTTTTTTTTTTTTAACTTTCAGTTTATTTTGAGGCTGCTGATATGGCCTCAAATAATCTGATTTGTTGCTTTATCACTATGTGAATGGTAGAGTCAGTGTATCTGGCTCACTAGCAGACAATAAGAACATGAAGAAGATAATGTTTTCATCTTGTCTACTTTCTGTATGTTTGCTTGGATGGTCTCCCAAGAAGGAATTAGCCAATCTATGGTCCTCATACCAGTTACTGCCCCAAACCCACTGCTTCCTGTTTTTATTATAGACTCTCATGGAATTTCTCAGCTATTAGTATTTAGCTTGAAAATGCTGCCAGAAAATGTGAATATGCATCCTTAGATTCTCATACCAATATGATGAGCTTCCATAGAATAACATTTCTTCCGGTTCTTTTTGGCATTCAGGCATATCCTGTAGCTAATAGACTACTAATCAACATTTTTGGCTGCATCGTTTCTTGAATTTGTTAGAATCTGATAGCTCGGAAAGAAATATATTTTTGAAAAAGGAACTTGTCTTGATTTCCTTAGTCATGCATTCCTTGTCTGGGTAATAAAGAATATGATTAAAATAAAAAAAGAATTTCAAACCAGAATATGAAAACATGTTTGTTTGTTTGTTTTTAATCTTGGATTTCTAAACTAAATGTCAAGAAGGAGACATGTAATAAATAAAAAAGGAAACTGACCGGGATTGCAGCTGCAGCTCCCATGACACACAAGAAGAATACCACTGTCTTCATGTTTTCCAGACCTGTGAACCAAGAAGATGATTAACAGAGGTGGGTTAAACATTCCTTACGAAAGACTGAAAGAGAATCTTCTTAGCAAATACCGAGCTTGATATTGAAATGACTGCAATGTCTTTAAAGGTGATTGCTGTCTTTGTGGAAGAACATGACAGTTCTTGCACAATTGTGTCCCTGTGAAAATTACTTAATTGTTTTTGTCCCAGCTGTGTTCAGCAGATCCTATCTCTGTTTATGCCTATGTTTGCTCAAATAAATGTTGGCTCTTAAGATTTGTGCGTATTCATGGTGAAGGTAAAAGTCACAAATGAAGTAAGCTAGCATGTCAGATTTGGGCAAATTGCATCTTTGGTGGTAAAGAAATCACGTTTCTGTTAGGTACCATTGAATAGCAACTCATAGCAACACTATGTTACATAGTAGAAGGGTCCCAGAGGATATTCTAGGCTGTAATTTTTACAGAAGCAGATTGCTGTGTCTTTCTCTCGTGCAACCACTAAGTGGTTTTGAACTACCAACTTTTAGGTTAGCAGTCAAGCCCTTAACCATCATGCCACCGGGGCAACAGTTGGAGAAACACACATTCAGTGAGAATTTTTAATAATGAGACATTGCAGTACTGCAGAGTTATAGACCCAGAGGAGGCCTTAACTAATTTAGAAGATTCATATTGGTAATGAGTTGGATGTGGCCTGCAGATTGGTTTGGTTTGGCAGGCATTATGCATTTTAAAACAACATTTTAAAATCTGAAGATTTCACATCAAAATCTAAATTTCTGCTTCTCTTGAACCATTAGTCCTCCTAACAACAATATAGTTCTATGACAATAGCTGGATTTGAGTAAAAGTTACTCTCTCTAAAGAATATTGGCATTTGTATCTAGTCTGTCTCACTTCTATTATTCACCTTACATTAGACTTTAGTTGATTTCAAACTAACTCCATCAGTTTAGAAATGAGACAAGTGTGATTCAAAGAAACTAAGTGAAAGCTCGTCAGATGAATTCCTGGTCCAAGGCATTTTCCACCACACCAATTATTCTAATAAGGTTCTGAAAAGTTGTGGGCCTGGTACATTTCCTTGCAGGGTGCCCTTAAGCCTGGTAATCTGATGGAAGTGGGGATACAGTTTTTAGTCTTTCAATAGAGAGTTTTTTTTTTTTTTTTTATCTCCAAGAAATAGTAGATAACTCCTTTAAATTACTTTTTTGCAATCATAATTTTATACATCAATGCATAAAATAATATTTTGAGGTTTCTTTAAAAAGTGGTCAATTTCTTCTGCTTACTTATCTCAATATTTATAAATAATAAGCTTAAATGGATATTTACAAAATATGTTGTGGTAGTTAAGGTTGTATGCCAACTTGGGCGGGCCTGGAGTGGCTGGGCAGCTGCATGTAGTTATTCCCCATGGGGAGATTGGTAATTAATTCCATGGTGAAATCTACTGGACTTGAACTGAAGAGCTGAAGCCCAAGGTAGAGGGGCTTTCACACAGCCCCTAGAGCCTGGCACTTTGAACTCGGACTTCTACCCTCCCAAACTGTAAGAAAATAAGCTCCTGTTTGTTAAAGCCATCCCATTTGTGGTATTTTCTGTTAGAGCAGCACAAAAATAACCAAAACATATGTTAATGTTAACCATTATCCTACTGAGTTAATACTGTCATAGCTATCATTTCACACACACATGCATGCATGGACACAAACAAACTTCTCTTCCTAAAATAATTTTATTACAATTCTTGCTTAAATTATTGTTCAGCATTTACATAACTATAACAATGTTATACATCCCTCACAGCTGAGCCAAGTAGTAATTTCCTGTGTGGAATTATAATTAAATTTCTTCTCTTAAATTGTGTTGTTTTTTTCTGGACTGACAAATTGCCTTCTTATTTTTATTTTTTTTTTACTTCATTTTTAATTTACCTATCATTTTTAAAATTCTTCAATAAATTAAAAAATCTCTCTTAATATGGTAAAAACAAGGCAAAAGAAAAAACCCCATAAAGGCTCAATTTATTTCATTTTTGGAAACTTTCTTCCTGAAGTCTTAGTTTTCTTGCTACAACTAATGATATACTCCAGGTTGCTACCCTGTTGCTCTGCTGGAATCTCTGTTCACCCCCACACTGGGCATTCCTTTGTCTTTTGTCGAGTTTGATTTCTTCTTTCCTGAATACTGTATGTTTTCCTTACTTTATTTTTTCCCCTCATTTTGATGGAGCACACTCTCCAGAAGCTTTCTGAGAAAAAAAGAGACAGAATTTTTTGAGATTTTATGTATTTGTAAAAAAAACAAAACAAAACTGTATTTGACTCTCCAATTGATATGTAGTTTAGCTGGATATAAAATTCTAGATTGGAAATTGGAAATTTTAATTTTTCTTAGAATTTTGAAGCATATTTCCACTTACTGCTAGCTTCTAGTGTTACTAATAAAAATTCCAAAGTCAGTTTTCCCCTAAATGTTTTTTATGAGAACCAGTTTGTTTTTTGGTCTTCCTCTCTGGAAGCTTTTAAGTTTTCATATTTTTCTGTAGTGTTCTGAAATATTGTGGTCTCTGCCTTGATGTGGATATTTTAAAATTTATTTTTGGCATTCACTGGATCCTTTGAAATTGGAAAGTCATATATTTCAGTTCTGGGAGATTTATGTGTTAGTTCTTTGATAATTTTTGCTCCTACATTTCCTTTGTCTTTTCTTTCTGGAATTCATATTGTTGTTGTTGTGGTTATGTGCCATCAAGTCAGGCCTGACTCACAGTGACCCTCCTTGGGTTTCTGAGGTGGTATCACTGTGGAAGTAGATTGTCCAACCTTTCTTCTGAGGAATGGCTGGTGGGTTTGAACTGCCAACCTCTGGTTAGCAGTCAAGTGCCTTAGGCCCTATGCTACCAGAGCTCCTTGGAATTAATATTAGATCTCAGAATTCTTGGATTTATTTTCTTAATTTACTTACCTTATTTGGTCCTCTTTTACACTTCAGTTTTATTCTGGGAAATTTGCTTAATATTACCTTCCATATCTTCTATTGATTTTTAAAACATTTTAGTCACATACTTTTAATTTCCAAGAACTCTTTCTTATTTTCTGATGCTCCCCCAACTCTTTCTTTTTTACGTTATTATCCTCTTCTTTTTTCATGGATGTGATTTATTTTCTTATTTCTCTGGGGATATTAATTAAATATATTGAAAATTTCTTCTGCAGCCTTCATTTTTTCCTTTTTCCTTTTTTTTTCAGTTTGTTTGGTTTTTGTTTTTCATGTCGAAAGCTCTTCTTAAATGTCTGATGTCATTGGCTGTCCATTAATATTTAGTCATGAGTCACTATAAACCATTAGAAGTTTCATGTGCTTGTTGCCTTGGAGGGCTTCCATGAAGGAATTGAGGCAAGACCTGATAGTTTTGATAGGATATTGTGAATGTCAATCTTTTCTCTTAGGCAACTTTTTCTCTAGAGAAGACCTTCATATCTCTTACCTTGGGGATAGGGGTTTAAGTCTGGTTGCCAGCATCCTATGAGTGAAAGGACTGATGATCTTTCAGTGCATACACTGACTTTCCCTTAAACACCCTGGTTTCTGTATGGTTCCACATCCTACTTCAAGTCTAACCATTAACCCATTGTTGTCAACTTGATTCTGATTTGTAGAAACCCCACATATATCATAGTAGGTAAAACTGTCTGATTTTTTGAAAGTAGATTGCCAGGATTTTCTTTCAAGTCCCACAATGTGGTTCAAGCACACAAGCTTCTCCATGGGAGTAAGATGGAGCAATCTACTTCCGTAAAGATTTATAACCTTGGGAATCCAATGGGGATTACTATGAGTTGGAATAAACTCATTGGCAGTGAGTTTGAGTTTTTAAAATATGTACTGATAGTTTTTATCTTCTCTATCTTCTTTTTTCTTTGTCTTTGTGAGTTTGTTTCTTGTTACTCCTTTTCTATTATGCTAGAAATTTGGCAGGGAGTGGTGATATATGCATGTGTTTCACCTACCCCATTTAACAAACAGCAGATAATTTCCCTTTCTTATCTATTTATGTTGTTGTTGTTGTTATGTGCCCTCGACCCGACCCATAGCGACCCCTCCTTGGGTTTCCGAGGCAGTATCACTACGGAAGTAGAGTGCCACATCTTCCTTTCAAGGAGTGGCTAGTGGGTATCTGTTTATAGTCCCCTTATTTTTCATTATTATCATTAACTCTTATTTTTAGAGTAGGAATAACTATGGCTTTTTTTCCCCCCTAACTTAACAATGCTTTTATTGAGAGAAAAGCACAGATTTCCTCCTCATGTTAGAAACAAGTAAGACTCATTTTCACCTTTATCCCAGTGTTCAAATTTTACAGGGTGGACCATGTGGACCAAGGAACAGTGAGTTGGAAGGATGGAGAGTCAAGCTGCATATAGAAGGAGATTTGGGATTGAGGATGAGGAATTTATTTATTTTTTTTTTGAAAACACCACAATACCTCGAATCATTTATAACCTTAAACTAATCTAGACTAATCAACTCCAAGTATCAATGAAAGTAACATCCACTCAGCTTGAAGCTCAAGTATAATCCTTGTAACGATTATATTTCTGAAAATCCTCTCTGAAAATGACCATACATAACCTAAGTAGAAACTCCTACTGCTAACTATGGAATGTATGTTTACATCTTCTACATTTTTAAAATAAATATTATTTATAATTGACAATGACATATAAAAGATACTTGAAGTTACGCTATCATGGTACTTCTGGTTTACCAAATAAATTTACAAAAGGAGTATTATCTCATATGATGTTTGTAACAGTGACATGATGTGGGCAGATGAAATAGGCCCAGAAGAGTTCAATGACATGCTTGAGGTCACAGTTGTACTCAAGAGAAAGCTGGGCTTGTACCCAGATTTCCTGACTCCTATCCCAGCACTTTCCCAGCTGTTTTACAAATAAAGATCTCCATTTTACCTCTTACAAAAAGGTGA